GTGAATAGTACAGTCTTAACTTGCATGGGTGGACGCAGCATTGAACAGAGTTTATTGACAAAGGCTTTTCACAGTACCTGGTGACATCCATCACAGAAGCATACCCGTTTTTAATGCAGTGCCATCTGAGGGGTTAAATGTCAAGGGCATTCAGTTGTGGTTTTCAGCCTTGCCCTTTACACACAGAGATTTCTCCAGATTCCTGAACTTTAGAGGTTATTATGCACTGTAGAGGGTGAAATACCTATTTTTGTAATTACTTGGTGAGGAACATTGTTTTAAACTACTGCCTTTTTTGCTGATTTATTGGTGTCGTTTGTTTTGAAAGTGCATTTATAATTTCTTTCCCTCTTTTCTTTTCTCCTCCCTGAAAGTTCTCTGACCCCTTCAGCCTCCTGTTAGCTGTTTTTGTGTCACAGGCCAAAATAATCCATTATTACACTTTATTGCTGTTGATTATTTTTGAGCATTTTTATTATCGCTTATAAATCAAGATTCCTATTTTGTCATTGATGTTTGGTAAATGACTCACGTTTTCACACATCATTCCCTGTGTGTGTGTGTGAGGGAGGGTCAGGGTCCGGACGGTGTCCCTCAGGGGGCAGCAGTGTTTGAAGACGATAATTGGAATTGAGCTGATGTTACGCACTCAGGCTGCGTCCCAGCGGAGCCCCTCGTGTGTCTGCGTGTGTGATGGGTTATAAATAAGGAGGAAGGCGATGAAGAGGGTCTCAGTGAAGAAGCGGTGGGCTTTCCTCAGTTGCTCCATCGTCTGTTCCACAAAAAGGCTGCTGGTAAAAAGCCTCGAACTCAACGCTGCAGGACAAACTCTCCACACAGCAGCAGATTTCAGAAGATCAACAGTAGAGCCTGAAAACAGACGCCTGCACAGGAATTACAGAGAAAGGTAAACACAGTTTACGGTTTTATTTCCTAAATTTGACGTCTTAAAGGAATAATCCAAAATTATCATCTGTGGTAACTGACTGTTCCACTGTTCCACTGACTACAGATACATCAGATAGAAATTTGATTACATTTTTCCACAGTTTAAAGTGTCTTTTATACAGTCTAAAGTTTAAAATTGAATAGACTTAACTCTCTTTAATTAGTGTTTTTTTAGTCTAAATTCTCGTTTATACAGTTTAAAGTCTCTTTAGTACAGTCTAAAGTCTTGTTTATGCACTTAAAATCTCTTTAATACGATTTCTTCCAAAAGTCCATACTGTCTAAAGTCTTTTATATACAGTCTAAAGTCTCATGTAAACAGTCGCAAGTCCCGTTTTTTACAGTTTAAAGTCAATTTAATAAAATCTTAAATCTCATTTATACAGCTTAAAATCTCTAATACAGTCTAAAATCTCTTTAACACAGTATCACATCTCTAATACAGTTCAAAGTCTCTCTTATTCAGTGTAGAGTTTTTATATAGTCTAAAGTATCTTTTATGCAGTTTAAATTCTGTTTAATACAATCTTAAGTCTTGTAAAGTTTAAAATCTCTAATACAGTGTAAAATCTCTTTAATACAGTCTAGAATCTTTTTAACAGTTTAGTCCCTTTAATACAGTCTAAAGTCTTGTTTATGCACTTAAAATCTCTTTAGATTTTGTGCGCATAAAAGTCTCAGATACAGTCTAAAGCCTCTTTAACACAGTTTAAAATCTTATACAGTCTAAATGGTCTTTAATACAGTCTAAATCTCTATAATAATCTAATCTCATTCATACAGACTAAAGTCTCTTGTATACAGTTGCAAGTCTCGTTTATACAGCTTCAAATTTAATACAGTCTAAAATCTCTTTAATACAGTCTAAAATGTTTTGACAATTTAAAGTCTCTTTTATACAGTCAAAAGTCTTTTTAATAGTCTAAAGGCTCTTTAGTACAGTCTAAAGCCCGTAAAATCTTAAGTCTCTTTAATAGTCTTAAGTCTCCTTTAAAGTATCCCTGCAGTCATACATTAAAGCACAAAAACATCTATTGAATAATAAATTGTTAAATAGGTTTATGTATTATTGTTATGACCAAGAAACCACTCAAATTTTAGCCTTCTCACTGAGCTACATTAGCCTGTCATAAACTTAATCTAAGACTTACCCGCTCAGATTTGAGTCTTTATTCTCTAAACTTATGTCAATAAGGCTTCAGTGAGTCAGAGTAAACCTGCGTGGTTGCGCCAGAGACTGTGTAGAGAGGAGAACTGCCACTCAATAACGTCTATCAGATTTGTCAGACACTAGAGGGCACTATCGAGTGAGTTTATAATGAATGGCTATGGGGCTTTTGTGGAAAATCATAGCTTAAATGCATAAATGTCTAATCATGTTTATACAGAAAAAATCCATTCATTTTTTACGCAGCGCATAACAGCATAAAGTATTTCAACACTTTTTAATAGAACTTTCTAACAGCGTGTTATGAACATTCATGACATAAGTGAACGCAAACTGCTTCACTCAGCCAATGAGTTGATTAGATTGCCATTCATTCAGCACTCAGTAATGCTAACCAGTCAGCACTCAGTAGCAGTAATGCCAACCAATCAGCACTCAGTAGCAGTAATGCTAAACAATCAGCTCTCAGTAGCAGTAATGCTAACCAATCAGCACTCAGTAGCAGTAATGCTAGCCAATCAAATCAAGTCAAGTCAAGAGGCTTTTATTGTCATTCCATGTATAAGTACACAGTGGAACGAAATTACGTTCCTCCAGGAACAACACGGTGTAACAAGGAACAGAAGTACAAAAGTACAAAAGTACAAAGTGCGAACGTGCAGACAGTGTGCAAACAAAAATTAAGCTAGAAACAATACAATAAATACGATAGATTAAACAGACATTAGACACAGTAAACAGACAGGACAGTGCAGCACCGACACAGCACTCATTTCTGGACATGAGGTAGTGGAATAAGGTGCAGACATATTTAACGTGATGTGATCTGTAAGTTACGTCAGATAACATACATATACACAGCAGTTACTGAGGTAGTAACACAGTGTAAACACAGTATTGGCAGCAATGTTCCAGATAGATAGTGCAAGTAGAGCATCAAAACAGGTGTGTATGAGTGTGTGGGGGGGGATTTAGTTCAGTCCTTGTGAGTTTAAAAACCTGATCGCTTGAGGAACAAAGCTGTTGCAGAGTCTGGCAGTGATGGCACGGATGCTCCAGTACCTTCTGCCAGACGGCAGCAGTGAAAAAAGTCTGTGTGAGGGATGGATGGGGTCGTTCACGATGCTGGTGGCTTTGCGGATGCAGCGTGTGGTGTAGATGTCCATGATGGAGGGGAGAGAGACCCCGATGATCCTCTCAGCTGTCCTCACTATGCGCTGTAGGGTCTTGCGGTCGGAGGCGGTGCAATTCCCAAACCAGGCGATGATGCAGCTGCTCAGGATGCTCTCCACAGTCCCCCTGTAGAACATGGTGAGGATGGGAGGGGGGAGATGAACTTTCTTCAGTCTCCGTAGGAAGTAGAGGTGCTGCTGGGCTCTCTTGGCTATGGAGTTGGTGTTGAGGGACCAGGTGAGGTTCTCTGTGATGTGGACGCCGAGGTGCTCCTGACGATTTCCACAGCAGAGCCAGTGATGTTCAGTGGGGCGTGGTCACCTCGCACTCTTCGGAAGTCAACAACCATCTCCTTAGTTTTGTCTACATTCAGAGACAGGTTGTTGGTTCCGCACCAGTCTATTAGCCGCTGCACCTCCTCTCTGTACGCTGACTCATCATTCTTGCTGATCAGACCCACCACAGTCGTGTCATCAGCAAACTTGATGATGTGATTTGAGCTGTACTTTGCAGCACAGTCATGAGTCAGCAGAGTAAACAGCAGCGGACTGAGCACACAGCCCTGAGGGCCGCCGGTGCTCAGTATGGTGGTGCTGGAGATGTTATTACCTATCCTGACTGACTGAGGTCTCTTAGTCAGGAAATCCAGGACCCAGTTACAGAGGGAGGCGTATTAGCGCTTAGTAGCAGTGATGCTAACCAATTAGCACTCATGCTAACCAATCAGCACTTAGTAACATTAATGCCAAACAATCAGCAGTGAGTAGCTCCATTTACCCCATTCACTGAAGATTTGCTCGGGGGCGCCCTCGCCATCACGTTTTTGATATTTTGATATTACATACATATATCATCTAAACCGCTTATCCTTCTGGGTCGCGGTGGGGTGCTGGAGACTATCCCAGCTGTCATTGGGCGGAAGGCAGGATACACCCTGGACAGGTTGCAGGGTGTCGCAGGGCAGACAGACGGACATACACACACATTCACACCTAGGGGCAGTTTAGCATGTCCAGTTGGCCTGACTGCATGTCTTTGGACTGTGGGAGGAAACCGGAGTACCCGGAGGAAACCCACGCAGACACAGGGAGAACATGCAAACTCCACACAGAAAGGACCCTGGTCACCCGGCTGGGGAATCAAACCCAGGCCCTTCTTGCTGTGAGGCGACAGCGCTACCCACTGCGCCACCGTGCCGCCTATTTTGATATTACGATGTTTTAATACTGGTTTCTGGTTGATGATTCAAGATTTTTGTTTTTTCTTAGAACCTCAAATATTTTGTCTTAAATGGGAAAGAAAAGTTTCAAGTGCTGTGAGATTAAAGCAGGGGCCAGTATTCTTATCCGCCAGCACGTCTGCAGGCTTTTTATTCCAGCCTTGCAGGAGCTCACCTAATATATCACATCAAGTGTTGAAGAAAGCAAATGATTAAACAGGTGGAATCACAGTGCTTCTGCTCGAATGGAATGAAAACCAGCAGCTACACTGGCCATATCGGATTGATGACCCCTGGATTAGACCATGAAGACAAAATGCTTATACAAACCTCTTGAGGCTGTACACACCACTATCTAATGGGCCTGTTATTCTATATAGAACTATATATACATTATTAAACATATGTAAGAGTGAACGTAGATTCTTGCTCACTTTCTCTCTCACTTTTCTCCCTCTCTCCCTCTCCCTCTCTCTCTCTGTAGTGATAGTGATGGTGTGCGGGTGCAGGTTGGTGCTGGTGGTGGCTCTGCTGCTGTGTTTGGGTGTGCAGTTGTCTGTCTCTCAGCACTGGTCTCATGGCTGGTATCCTGGAGGAAAGAGAGAGATCGACTCCTACAGCTCACCAGAGGTATCAGCACACGTCACAAGAGCATCAATAAGATGCACTCTGACCAAACACCTCCTCGTTTCTACACTCACTGTGCATTTTATCAGCTCCACTGACCACATAGGAGCACTTTGTAGTTCTACAGTTACCGACTGTGGTCCATCTGTTTCGTACTTACCCTGTTCTTCAATGGTCAGGACCCCCACAGGACCCCCACAGAGCAGGTACTATTTGGGTGGTGGGTCATTCTCAGCACTGCAGTGACACTGAGATGGTGGACACTGACATAATTCACTTGTTAGCTCCAAATCGAATGCTCCTAATCCAACTAATCCAGGAGCATCAGGATGTCAGAGAAAAGGATCAGGTTAATAGCTGAACTCTATGGATTATGGATATCAGGGCTGGCCATCCTAGACTGAAGAGGCTTTTCCATGAAGTAACCAGACTGACCGTGTGATTTAGCTCAAGTCTCGGCTTAACTGCCATCATTTCCTGGGGATCGATATAAATCAGCTGAATCAGGGGTGGACTTCATGTGGAGTGTAGAAGTGATAACTTGCACTTGAGTACTATAGTAAAGGAGATACTGACCTGCATTTTGACAATGGATAGACATTTTCTCACTTGCTGCTGAATTTATAGTGAAAAGTAGATGGTCTATTACACCGTATATTATATTAAATTATATTTTATTTTGTATTAAGTGCCGTCAAGTCATTTCCAACTCCTGACAACCATATCTAAATTCCTTGCCTTGTATTGTGGCAAATCTTAATGACTCTTAATGGCAAAACAGAGAACTCTCATCAACATTTATAAGTGCAGAGTATTTGTGTACTGGCCACTTTATCAGAAACCCCTTCTTAGTAGCTCCACCTTGCTGATGTACAGTTAGACACTGTAGCCTTTCTGTTGATGCACAGTGTTAGTTATCCTTTTGCCCTTCATCAATGGCCAAAACAGACCACCTACCAAATAATATCTAGGCAGCAGTGCTCCTATGGTCAGAAACTGACCAATGATGAATATGACAGAGGGGGGCTTATAAACTGCTCGGCAACAGATGAGCTGCAGCCTGGAGCTATACACCTACATAGTGTATAGGTAGGAGTTTCCAATAAAGTGGCCAGTGAGTGGAAGCACAAGGCAGGCCTTTCTAATAAAGTGGCCAATCAGTGGAAGAACTATGTAGGTGTTTCTATTAAAGAGGCCAGTGAGTGGAAGTTCAAGGTACGTGTTTCTAATAAAGTGGCCAGTGAGTGGAAGTACTAGGTAAGTGTTTCTAATAAAGTGGCCAGTGAGTGGAAGTTCAAGGTAGGTGTTTATACTAAAGTGGTCAGTGATAGTAAAGTGGACACTGAGGTAGATGTTTATACAAAAGTGGCCAGTGAGGTAGGTGTTTCTAATAAAGCGGCCAGTGAGGTAGGTGTTTCTGATTAAGTGGCCATGGATTCTAATATTTTCTTTATCTATGCTATGGTTTTGCCAGATGTCGGGGGAGATTAAACTGTGTGAAGCGGGAGAATGCAGCTACCTGAGACCCCTGAGAACCAACATCCTGAAGAGCATCCTGGTGAGAACCTGACCTGTTATTTCTGAATGTTTATTTCAAAGGGACATTATATAAAATATGTATATATATATATATATATATTCCCGCTGTTGGTTTGTTGATGACCTGTTGATGTTTTGCCTCCCACAGCTGGATGCCCTCATGAGGGAGCTCCAAAAAAGGAAGTGATGTCACACTGCAGCATCAAGGCAGTTACCATGGAAACCCCATCGTGGGAACAAGCACATTTGTTTACGTTTATGTTATAGTATTTCTTAGCTTTCCATTCTTCTTTTGCGAATCAACTCTGTTTGTGCATCATGTGACCATTTAGCACTTCAATAAAATCTTTATTTTGGTATTCTGTCTCTTGATTAAATGAAGCCTATCATAAACTACCCTGCTGACAGCGTCAAGGACTCTGGTGGTTTAACAGGTGTTCTGGAACTGATTCCAGATGCATTGTGTCCTAATAGCATCTAAAGGTGTCCTACAGGAAACTAGTGGTCTCTAATGATAACAATTAAGCCAATTCCCATTAGAAAGCATCCTAATGTCCTAATCCTAATGGTCTTTTTTCAGTAGGGTGAGGTTTCTCTGTTTTGATGTACGACTCTCTGCAGTGATGGGAGTTGACTATTTGACAAACACTGTATGTTGGAACATCAATACAAGCGTTTGGATTCACATAAAATGAAGTTGGCGCTAACTGATCTTCAATAGCAAATGCTAAGTAAGCCTTATTGGATCCGGTGGATCAGGATCACGGATGGTGGATCTCCTGGAGGGCAGCTAAAGAAATGAAAGACTTTAAAATCACAGTTAAACTGCTATTCAAATACATTTTAAAGCTCAATTCATCATTTCAGATTTTCAAAAATACAAACTGCTGTTCTTTCCAAGTCAAAAAGACAGGCAGCTTTAATGATGCTCAGAGTTAGGCTTTAAGCTGAGGGACACTCTTAAAGCACCAAAAGGGTTCTTCTATTGTTACCATGAACCGTTTTTGGTGTTTTTTCAAAAAAGTTCTATATAGAACCATCTATAGCACATTCTCCATCAATCTGAAGAATGCTTTCATAATGCTAAGAACCCTTTAATCACGCAAAGGGTTCTTTGATTGTTCATGGTTCTATATAGAACCATTCTCTTTACTAAAGAACCCTTGAAGAACCATCTTTTGTAAGAGTGTAGGAGAACAAGGCTGCAGAATCAAAGAAAAGTCAGACGTTCAAAGAAACCAAGGATGCGAACGAAAGAAGTGGCCATGGCTGAGTAATGTGGCCTTTTTTGAAGCACAGTTCTTTTGTGCATGTGGGTCAATTTAGGAGCTGATCTGTTCAGACTGATGTCTCATACAGATCACATTCAAAAGATGTTGTGAACAGTAAAACAACTAAATCGAATGAGAGAAAATCAGATTTGGGTCACTTTTACCGCCTGTGTGAACGTAGCCTCAGAGAGATTTTTAAAAATGTGTCTTTGCTGAATTTTAAGGGCTATTAGTTCTTGGCCTAAAGCAGTTGTGCTTATTAGACTTAAAAAGAACTGCTTTTTCCAAATGTGCTGTAACTTGAAGTTTATCAAATAGCCCTCTGGTAGAATTTTAAAATGTCTAAATGCTACAGTCACAAAAATAGAAAAAAAAAGCAAAAATCACTTTTAGTAAAGATAATGATGTCCCTCAAAGACAACTGGCTTTCAGTGTTTCTAGAGTATCCAGTGGTGGAATTTTGTTGTTGTGTCATCACAGCTAATGTTGTTTGTCATGATACATGTCTTTGGGTCATGTCATGTATATTACTATGTCATTAAAAATATCTTTTAAATTTCAATAATGAAAAATGGACAGAAATTAGCAAAGATCTTTTTTCAGTATTTTTGGCCGTAACTTATTTGCTATCTTCTCTGTAGTGGGAAATGTAGGTTTGATCTGTTTTGGACATTTGTTTAATGAGAAATCAAAGACAGAAAGTCAAACATCAAAAATATCTAAACTTGTGAATGAAACTGACGGTTAGCTAAAAAGAAAAAAATCTGTGCTACAACAACAAAGAACTTACCTCCGGGTGGATAAGGCTGGTCTAACATCTAAATGCTACATATAAATCTAAATGAGATACTGGCCCAATCCTCCCCAATCACCCCTCGCCCCTACCACTTAGCCCTTAGCCCTCTGTTTTGCGCTTTCTCGTCTAGGGGTAGAGTGTCCCGATTCTTGTTGAGATAGAGGGGTAGGACGAAGAGTTTGGGCTACATGGCCCTCCAAACGGAGGTTTTTCAGAGACTCCAAACAGAGAGTTAAAGAAACTGGCAAGAGACCAAAGAAACCCACAAATGTAAGTATTTTCTCCGTTACAGAAAATATGATAACCATTGTATTATCTTAGTTTAATGTTGTTTCAGTGTATTATGGTCGTTTTCGTCATAACAAGCATAAAAAATCGCTAATAGCATGCTAATGTCTCGGTAGCTAGCTAGCTAAGTTTCCTGTTCCACCTTAAATAGTCCAGCAGTATTGGTGCCTGTAGCGCCAGAATGTAACTGCTGCACCATTTAAAGTGGAACGGGAAAATTCGAACAAGATATCTGACTTCAGCTTCGTAACACCAAAGAATTAGCGGTGGGTGATAATAAATACTGTCCCCCCTCTTTGAAAGCATAGGATGCCCTAAATGTAACTTCAGCCCAGCAGTGAGGTTGCTAAACTATATACTCCTAAAGCCGTTGTTGTTGATGAATCTGTATGCTACTGAAGCTGTTCTGTGCTCTTAAATGCTATTTTAAACTGATCTCCTCTTCAGGCAACTTCACCATTAACCATTACTGTAAATAGTCTCAGAGTCAGGGCTGGACAGTAAATAGAACCAAGAACACTTAAGGAGACCTTTGCATGATTAAACGGTTCCTTGCATGGTGAAAGCATTCTTCAGGTTTACAGAGAATTTGCTGTAAATGGTTCTATATGAAAATATAAGAAAAGGGTTCTTCTATTGTTACCAGCGTGACATCGTAAGAATAGAACCCTTATTATTTATATATAGATAGATAAATAAATACTTCATTTATCCTGAAGGACATTTAGCTGCCAGTTGCAATCACACAACACAGGACAGTAATAATAAGGGTGAAACATTATACATGAAAGAATAAATATAAAATCCTATCTACGGGCATATACAAATAAAAGTACACAAAAATCTGGAATATGATCTATAACCTGAGATGAGAAAGGCAGTGAAATAATGACTGTACAAGGAGGCGCAGGTTACGGCATATAATGACAGTACTGAATAAATATGTGCAGATATTGGTACTGAAATAAAGTGTCCAGGTGTGGAGTGTCCAGATGTGCAAAATTCGCGATAGGGGGTACAGAAAGTGCAATATGTACAGTAAGGTGTCCATACGTGCAGATGGATAAAATGATTTAGCATTCATAGATTCAGATTCAGTCCTCATCTCTCCTCTTCCCTCTTCTCTTCTGGCCCCACTGGGAGGAGCGGAAGAGCCTAATGGCTCTGGGGACAAAGGATCTCCTGAATCGGTCGGTTGAGCAGCTTTGTGACAGCAACCTTCCATTAAACATGCTCCTCTTGTCCGTGATGATGGTGTGCAGCGGGTGGCCTTCATCCTCCATAATGGAGAGCAGTTTGTGCAGAGTCCTTCTCTCGGCCACCTTAACCATAGAGTCCAGTTCCACACTGACCACTGACCCCTGCTCGTCTGACCAGCTTGTCCAGTCGTATCTCATCTCTCTTTTTCATGCTTCCTCCCCAGCACACCACGGCATAAAAAAGACAGCTGGCAACCATGGTCTGATAGAACATCTGTAGGAAGCTAAAGGACCCCAGCCTCCTCAGGAAATAGAGCCGGCTTTGCCCCTTCCTGTACAGGATGTCTGTGTTAGCTGACCAGTCCAACCTATCACCCAATTGCAGTCCAAGATACCTGTAGGTCTTAACCCTCTCCATTTCAACCCCCTCAATAGAGATTGACTGTGAGAGTGACCTAGCCCTGCGAAAGTCCACCACCATCTCTCTGGTTTTGGAAGTGTTCAGTAGCTGGTCGTTTCTACCGCACCATGCCACAAAGTCCTTTACCAGGGTCTTGTACTCCTCCTCCTGCCCTCCCCTTACACAAGCCACAATGGCTGTGTCATCCGAAAACTTCTGCATGTGGCACGTCTCAGAGTTGTACTGAAAGGGGGAAAGTACAGTCCCTTGTGGTGCTCCTGTGCTGCTGACTACAGTCTCTGATGTATAGTCCTTCAGCCTGACATACTGAGGTCTGCCAGTGAGGTAGTCAGTAATCCAGGAGACCAGGTGCGGATCGACTTGCATCCTTGCCAGCTTATCTCTCAGTTGGAGGGGCTGAATGGTATTAAAGGCACTGGATAAATCAAAGAACATGACTCTTACAGCGCTACCACCCTCCGGTGGAGAAAGTATAGCGTGGCAACCTCCACTCCCACTTTCTCCTTGTAGGTGAACTGCAGGGGGTCCGTTGCGTGTACCTGGGGTCTGAGAACCATATACAACACATGCTCCATGAATCTGAAGAACGCTTTCATCATGCAAGGAACCCTTAATCATGCAAAGGGTTCTTTGAGTGTTCATGGTTCTATATAGACCCATTTTCTTTAGAATAGAACCCCCGAAGAACTATATTTTTAAGAGAGTAACCTAAAGCTTAAAGATATTCATTACTTTATGCAAATGTTATATTTCTTACTATTTATTTAATTGTGAGCTTCAAAAGCATCTGTGCAGTAAGCTACTGTGAATATACACTACACTGCCAAAAGTATTCGCTCGTCTGCCTTCACACACATATGAACTTGAGGTTCATCCCATTCTTAATCCATAGGGTTTAATATGATGTCGGCCCACTCTTTGCAGCTATAACAGCTTCCACTCTTCTGGGAAGGCTTTCCACAAGGTTTAGGAGTGTTTATGGGAATTTTTGACCATTCTTCCAGAAGCGCATTTGTGAGGTCAGACACTGATGTTGGACGAGAAGGCCTGGCTCACAGTCTCCACTCTAATTCTCCCAAAGGTGTTCTATCGGGTTGAGGTCAGGACTCTGTGCAGGCCAGTCAAGTTCTTCCACACCAAACTCGCTCATCCATGTCTTTATGGACCTTGCTTTGTGAACATGTTGGAACAGGAAGGGGCCGTCCCCAAACTGTTCCCACAAAGTTGGGAGCATGAAATTGTCCAAAATCTCTTGGTGCTGAAGCATTAAGAGTTCCTTTCACTGGAACTAAGGGGCCGAGCCCAACTCCTGAAAAACACCACACCATAATCCCCCTCCACCAAACTTTACACTTGGCACAATGCAGTCAGAGTAGTACCGTTCTCCTGGCATCCGCTGACCCCGCTCTGTCATTTTACGTGGCCGACCACTTCGTGGCTGAGTTGCTGTCGTTCCCAATCTCTTCCACTTTGTTATAATACCACTGACAGTTGACTGTGGAATATTTAGTAGAGAGGAAATTTCACGACTGGACTTGTTGCACAGGTGGCGTCCTATCACGGTACCACGCTGGAGTTCACTGAGCTCCTGAGAGCGACCCATTCTTTCACTAATGTCTGTAGAAGCAGTCTGCAGGCCTACGTGCTTGGTTTTATACACCTGTGGCTGTGGAAGTGATTGGAACACCTGAATTCAGTGATTTGGATGAGTGAGTGAATACTTTTGGCAATATAGTGTAACTACAGCACAGTACAAATGAATTAGCAACAGTTAGCATATCCTCATTTACACTTGCACATTGAGTGTCTTGTACTATGTTGTTTCTACTCCTTCAGGCCTGTGGAAAGGAACACTGTGTTTCCCATCATGTCCTTCTATGGTGTTGGTAAAAATAGCTGCACAGAAGGGACATTGAACCCAACAACCACACAACTTGTTTTTCAAAAAAAAAAAAAAATCCTGGTCTCTGCCTGTGGTCAACAGCTTTGACCACTTCTCTTCAGTAAGGATCTTTCAGTACTAGATCTTGCAGAGTAAATTTCATCTCACGTTCGAGCTCCAGTGAAGACGGCGGATGACACAATATTGTCTCTAGTTTGGTTTTAACAACAGATTTACTGATTGACTATTTAGCATTTTAAAGCATCAGTAAATATATAAAAGACTGTAGACAAAATGTTCCTCTGTAAGCAGCACATTAGAGAGGAGGTGTGTAGAAGAGATGGTTTATGTGTAGAGAGAGAAAATGTGCAGAGGACTATAAAAATGGCATTATTGGTGAAACATTTCTGACACCTTTACACAAATTTGCTTTATATGGTTTAATAATAAATAAGGTACAGCATGCAGTACAATATAAACAGGTTAATGATTTCACACAGGTTAACAAAATCACTCTTCAAGTGTACACTTAAAAAAGATGATTCATTAAGGGTTCTTTAGTAAAGAAAATGGTTCTATATAGAGCCATTAACCCTCATAAACCCTTTGCATGATTAAAGTGTTCTTCAGATTGATGGAGAATGTGCTGTAGATGGTTCTATGTAGAACCTTTTTGAAAAGGGTTCTATATAGCACCCATAAGAGTTCTTCTATTACAAGCTTGACATCGTAACAATAGAAGAATCCTTTTGGGTGCTATATAGAACCCTGTTCAAAAAGGTTCTATATAGAACCATCTACAGCACATTCTGAAGAACCCTTTCATAATGCAAAGAACACTTTAATCATGCAAAGGGTTCTTTGTGTGTTCATTTTCTTCACTAAAGAACCCTTAAAGAACCATCTTTTTAAAGAGTATATGATTAACTGTCACAATGGTTGTAGTTAGTTGAGGTATAACTTTCATACATTACACTAAAGTTTTGCTTCAAGCGTCAATATTTCATGCATGACATGGTTCTGCTGAAGAAGGCAAGCATGATGTGTACTGGGATATAATGATGGTCAGGGCCGTAACTAGGATGAACATTTACAGCAACCATACGTTTCTCTTTTAGGGTTTTTTTTTGCCAAACCATTGCTCCTTTTTTTACCGAACCATAACAGGTAAGCCTTTTATGTGTTCCTCCCTCATCCCTCCATTCTTCCATAAACTGCTCTTACTGTTCCACAAACTGATTTGACTCTATTTGCCTTGTTTAAGTCTATTTGATTTATCATTTTACTTTTTATTTATGTTTAGTTTAAGCTGAAAATGTGTTGAAACCTACACTAAATCAAGTGATAGTTTCTCTCTCTTTACTTGTTTCTTTGCATCCCTGTCCTCATTGATAACTGAAATAGCAAACATTACACATATGCTATTAAAAGCTTTCTGTACTAAACCCCAGCTAACGGGAAAGGCAGTTACTTACACAGTTAATGAGACACAATACAGTCTAATAAACCTGCTGATTTCTTAATAATGTTAGCTACATGATGCTATACTGTCAATATACTGGTTAACTGTGAACTTTCTAATGCTGGTTGTAGTTTGTTATGAGTGGGTTGTAGTTTGTTATGAGTGGGTAACACAGTACAGCTTTAATTTAACATGTAATCACTAATATAGCTGACTATGCAGCCTGTAGCCTAAATTGAGCGGTTATTGGAGCTAGACTAAAACATTATTTAGCCAGCAACATTACAAGCAATTAAAACAAAACTGAAATACATGGTTTACATTTTACAACTTTAATGTGTTAATTGCACTCATAAACTCTTAGCTAGCTACATTTTTACCATAGCGATGGTATAAGTTAGCCTATAGCATGTGTGCTGCATAGTTGAACATCTCTAGAAGTCAAAGTTACTCTGGTTCTCTGGGCAGTTTAGCCTCTCATACAGAGATTAACAGAGAGGGCAGTCAATTCCAAGGCCGAACCACAGCTGTTCTGTGGTCAGCTGAGTAGTTATGTTGCTTTTTTCCACACTGAATCTCATAAAACAGAGGACCTCAGGACTTCAGAGGACCTCAGTGTCCTAACGCTAGTCACAAACATGGCGGGTGCTGAAGCAACTGCGGATAGCAATGGTCACTAAGCATATATTGGAGGGCAGAGGAAATAAGGAGCTTGGCAGATTTTGATTGGCCATAATACAGTGACAGCGCTCACAGAAAACAAATCAAATTTCATATCTTAAAAAATGACGCATAATAAATACCCTGTCCCCATCTGGGTAGGACTGCTCATGAATTGAGAAAAGTGAAAAAAATATCCTTCGGAATCTACCGGTGTCCTCATAGCTAGTTACGGCCATGATGATGGTACTCACTTCCTCTTGAAGTGGGGGGCTTTGCATTTCATTTAAGAGATCCAAATAACACGCATGCCATTCAGATTAATACAGCTTTCATCATGTAGTAGCAACAGGCCATTTTAGTGTAAAACAATATTCATCAGCATTGAACTATCATTAATAGAATATGGAGTGTTGTAAGTGTATGTAAGATCTAGACATCCTTCACACAAAGTATCCAGTTATGATAAGAAGTTCATGTAGCCTTAATCTTCCATCTTCTGGCCTGTATGTAACATTACGGCATGGAGAACAGGCATGCCTAGGCTAATGAGGAGAGGTTGCTAGCACATCACTCAGTAGAACAGTCTTGCAGCCTCAAGCCTTTAACTTTCAGAGTCTGTGACTAGTAGGACCTAATAAGGTCCCTTCAGACTGGGATCAAACATGCACAGATGTGTGACTACTACTTGGAATCCTTCTTCACAGGAGGTGCTTAGTCTCTAAGCTGATCTGTCATTTGTGTTAATATGTGTGACAAACTAAGAGAATCGCTTAACATATACAGCTGCTGCACATACTTTATTCATGCAAGCAGTGAGTTTCCAGGTAATCCTCAGAGATGTTGGGCTATGCCTCTTGCGGGTCCCAGAAACTCGCATCCAACTTGGCCAAGGAAGATATGACTGATCTTGCGTGTTCACTCCTTTTTTCCATGAGCTTCACAAAAGTGAAGGAATGATGTTAAGATGTGCACTCAATTGTCTGCACTCTCAGGAGCTGATGTATCAAAGCCACGTCCTGAGGTGATGCCACATCTCCAAACGTGGTGTAGATTTTAGATATTTACTTTAGAGATTGATTTCAGAGATCAGAGGTCATGAGGGATTTCATTTGGTTCTGCCTCCGAGTTTGACTATCTGTTCGTGCTTGTGTGTCTGCAGTACATGCAGGTAAGGAAGTGGAGTTTTATTTTTTATTGTCTAAAAATAAAGAGTCTGAACTCAGTCAATTGGTGGGGCATCGGCCCAGTTCTTTGAAAAGTACTTAGTCAAGATGATAGCTCGTCCCCATTGTTCTGGTGAACATGGCAAAAACTGTTAGGTTTGGTAGATCTTCTTCTAAATCCATTATAGTGGCTGCAAGATATTCTGGCATTTGTAGAGTTATACTTGTTGCTGGATGCTTGGTAGGAATCATAACAATCCATCAGACATCATCTCCAGAAGCTGACTGAAACCATCAGATGGTATTTGTGTTCTTCTGGTATAATTTCACCATTTATTGATGTCTGAATTTGAAATATTTAGACCAAATTCATCCAGAAAAGAGTGTCAAATAAATAAATAAATAAATAAATAAATAAATAAATAAAGGCAGTTTAAATTTACGGTTTACATTGATCATTACATGGTAATGGCATACTGTTTCCTTCGTACATTAGAATACTGTAAACTTTCTAGTGCATTTTCCTTAGTGATGTTCCTCCAGGCTATAGGAATCTTTCCTTGGCCCTTAAATGTTTTGTCGTAGTACTTCTCCAGGTCTTTCTGAAACCAACAAACAAACCATTTCCAGTAAGCCTGTTCTGAAGCGTCAGGCGTGATGCTCCAACAGGCATATTGTGGTCCAGCTTCCCAGTATCTGCTGTAAGGTACACTTGTTTCTTCATCGAGGACTATTGCAGCATCACTAGTTATTAAACTGGTACAGATATCTACAGCCAGATTATTTGTCTTGTACCACGACCACCCATTGAGTCCTTCAGGCCTGTGGAAAGGAACACTGTGTTTCTCGTCATGTCCTTCTATGGTGTTGGTACAAATAGCTGCACAGAAGGGACACTGAACCCAACAGCCACACAACTGGTTTTTCAAAATATCTTCTGGTCTCTGCCTGAACATGTCCATCCTTACTGAAGACAAGTGGTCAAAGCTGTTGGTCATATCCTTAAAAACACTCTGTAGGGTTTTATTCATCACTTCACCAAAAAAGTCTGTGTCAGTGATTTCTTGGTACTGAGCACCGACTAGATCTTGCCGAGTAAATTTCATCTCACGTTCGAGCTCCAACGAAAACTTCTCCAGCCACTCATTCACATCTCCTTTGTTCTGTTTAGTCTCCTGTGTGGCCTTCTGGATGGCTGCGAATACAATAGGCTGCTTCATTTTTACCGCATTCTTCAGAATTTCCAATATTCTGGGGTTTCTCCCTTCCAGCATTTGCTCTTCAATTTTGGTTTCTATGAAATCTGAGAAGTGTTTCTTTGGATTCTCAATGTAGGTGATGAATCGCTCAAAGTTTTCATCTTCTGCCAGATCCTGCAGGATGTGTACTTCCAGGTTTGACCTGTTCCCATTGAACGCTGGGAAATTTGCCCTCATTTCTCCAGCTGCATCAATGGCAGTTTGGTCATAGACAGATTGCAGGATAGACGGCTTGAGTTTGTTACAGACAAAGTCTGCAAACACAGTGGTGGCTGTTGCTCCTTCACATTGCTTCTTGAAGATGGAGAAAAATTCTTCTTTCTTTTTTCCCAGGTAAATCACGGGATCATTAGCCTCTCTGAAGACCTTGTGAAGCTCAGTGAACTTTCTTACTGCAATGTCACAGATATACAGGGACAGATCCACTGTGAAATCATTCTTCAGTGTGAATTTCTTACTTTTAAATTCTGACACTCTCATCTTCACATATTTCACAATCTCCTGTGTGTAAGCATCACTGTAGCCTGTTTTGTCCACTGGTTTACTTTTAATGATCTCCTCAGCTTCTCTTACTATCTCCTGCACTAGCTCTCTGATTGAGTCATGATCTTTGGTGTCCAAACTATGATATAAAATGCCAAACCTGCCTTTCTTAACTGTTACATACTCAGAATATTCTCTCTTTTTCTGAATATTTTTGTAAAGTCCGCTGTCTTTGTTGGAATAAATGGTACGACTCTCAAAAGCTGTTTTCAGTATGTTCATCACTTCCTGCTCTACATGGACATCTTCAATTGGAGGCATTTCTGCCTTTAGATCTGAAAGCCATTTCTCCCACATTGAGTCAAACTCTTGCTTGAGGCTCCTCTCATTCATGGCCTTATCTTTCAGCCTGGAAGCCAACTCTTTGCTACTGTTGAACAACTCGTTCTCATACTGTGTTTTCTTCTCATCTAGCTTTTTACATGTTGCCTTCGTTTTAATGAGTTCAGTCATTTTTCGTGCAGTCGCTTCAGTCAGACTGTCATACACATCTTTAATTCTCTGTTCTGTTCTTGCTTTCCACTGAGAAAGGATCTCAGCATCTTTATCTTCGTTAAAGAATGTTTCCATCTTGTTCTTTACAGCACAGAAAGTACCTTTGATTTCATCATGGATCAGTTTTTGTTCAATAGCTTCCAGCTTTCCATTTTCAACTAGGTTCTGCAATTTGTTATGAATGAAGAGCATGTCTTCCCTCAAGGCCCAGGTCCAGTTCCCATACATGACCTCCAATTTTCTGTATGCTGCTATCTCCAGGGTGTTTTTGAAGCTGAACACAAAGTCTTCATTCAGCACTGCAGTCCACAGGTCTTCAATACGGACTTTGAGCTCGGAGAGTGTTAGACATTTCTTTTCTGCTGCAGCTGCGAGAATGGCCTGTTTGAGATTTTCAATATTTTCACTGTAACGTGGGTTGGGGGGAGCCATGGGGGGGTTTCCCTCCCACAGCTGGGCAAAGTAATGCACATCTGTCTGTATGTTGAATTTGATCACATCAGTAAAATACTCTGCACTGCACACTTCTTCAGTTGCTGCCAAGCATGTCATTTCATCCAGTTGTTTCTGCAGTTGCCTTCTTCCCTCCATGTTCTTCTCTCCGGCACTGATATCTGTAACGTTCTGGTGAACAAACATGCAGCTGGGAGTCAGTTTTACTTTCTTCATTCTTAGAAATGCCTGAACTACTATTTGAATGATGTCCTTCATTTCTGCAGGATTTTCCCCAAAGATGTTTATCAGGGTCATATCTGCAAGACCAGTGACGAAAGTGGCCAGTTCATTGTCATGAGTGAGTGCTGACTGTTTGCCCACCAGTTGTAAAGACTGAAGCCCTTCTGTGTCAATAACAAGCAGGTAGTCAAACTTAAGCTCTTCTTTAACTTCTTCTTTCACTCTGATTAGCTGCATGAAAGCTCCTCTTGTGCACCTGCCAGCACTCACAGCAAACTGCAGCCCAAACATGGCGTTCAGCATGGTGGACTTTCCTGAGCTCTGCAGGCCCAGAACGGACAGCACAAACACTCTCGGGTCTCCCAGTCTTTCAGTGACCTTGTCCAGAACAGACTCTATCCAGGTCAAAGGGACGTGAGCAGCATCTCCGTCCATCAGCTCTAGTGGATGTCCAGAGATCAGGAGGTCTGCAGCCAGAGCAGGGAGAATAGAAACCTCTGGCCTCATTTTGTCAGGACATTCAGCCCAGGCTTCATAAATCTGACCCATTTCTCTGACTATGTGCTCCAGGCCAAGTGTCACTGCATCTACCTTCTCTGATAACGTTTCAAGTTCTTCCTGCTTTTTCCTGTAATCATCTGTTATTTCACGTTTCTGTTTCAAAAAATGCACGTCTGACAGCTGTTTGTAATATTGCTGAGTAACTTCAGAAAGGTCATGTAAAAATGAGATGTCTAGATAGACGCCAAGCCATCTCAAAAAGTACCGTTGCTTTGTAACGTGCTTGACATTTAAATTTTTACTGACAGGGTTTATCAAGTCAAGTGAAGACTCCCTTTGTTGATTCCTTATTGATTTCATTTCCTGCTCGATCTTGCTCTTGGTCTGTTCAACGTCTCCATACAAGCGATAACGCCGTTTGTTATTTCTGGTCCAGTCGTGCCACAGTTTCCCCTGACAGGGCAGGAGTTTGGCCTTGATTTGGGAGATATCGTCTCCTTTCAGCAGCTGCATAACGTCCAGAGCTCCAGTCTTTCCTTCCTGGCAGTCCTCACTGTCTTCATCGACTACAAAGCCACAGCGTTTAGCCAGTTTTGAGCTCTCCTCAAGACTAAAAGTGGGACTTGAGTTACATTTCTGCAAACACATACTGATTGCTGCTATCAGTTCTTCTTGCAGTTCAGCCTGGTTTCTGTCCCTGAGTCCTATTTTTATATTATTTCCATTTCCCATCTTAAGTGGACCTTTCTGTAGATCACTGATGACACAGATCAAATACTTTGAAGAATCTTTGTAGAGCGTCTGTAACAACTCCCTAGCTTTCTCATTAAGCTCCATGTTTTGCATCAGGACAACGATGACTGTAGCTTGTTCGCTCAAAAAGCCATTTTGTTTATTGTGCTCTACAGCATCACCACGAAGATTGCAGAACGCAATGCATTCATTGAAAAGGTCATCAGTGTTTCCTGCAGGACAGTACCAGGAAATCTCCACCAGCCCCTCCATGAACAGACAGCTCCTGCTGCTGCCCGGGCAGTCCCTGTGGAAGAAGGTGTTGTGCTTCGGGTTAATCACAGAATTCAGCAGCTGGGATTTGGAAGTGGAAACAGAGCCCAGCCTGCAGAAAAACACCATTGGAGCTTTAACCTGGCAGACAGGCAACGATGTGCTGAGACCACCAACTGACTTCCAGGACTTCTTGATCTGCCGAAATGTCCAGAGAGGGAGTTCAGTGTCTGCGGATGTAGGGCTGGGCACCAGCAGTGGCAGGGCGTACTGGCAGGAAGAGAGCTTAGTCATTATGTTCTGCCTCAGAAAACTGTCTGCGCAGTGGAAAACTGCCATTTGGACATCCATTGGGTGAATCGGTGTTTTTTCATCTTTTTTACTTTTGCTACTTTCATTCTCTGGATTTAGAAAATCATCAAACTCTTCATTTTCACCAGCTATTCCCCCCATTTCACTGGTGAAACTTTTTTTATTAACTGTCACAAATCTGGCTCTGTAATCCAGTGTCAACAGTTTATGTAGGTACACAAAGGCCACATTCTCTTCATTCATCAGCTCCTTTCCGGCCAGCGACTCTACTTTCTGAAATGACATCTTACATATATTGAGTGCATCTGCCATTGTCAATTTATGTGGATAGAAATTACTCAGATGAAGTCTACAAATGACATCTGAAATCTTGATACTTGAGTCTTCCTTCTTTAACCCATCGTCTGACTTCTTACTTGCAATGTCCTGTTAAAAAGAAAGAAAAATGATTGAACATGTATAAATTGAGTTTAGAAAAGAATCCAAAAAGAAAAAACGAAGTAATTGTTTGCTAAAGCAGTCTGTATTCAGTACTCAAGAGGGGCTAAAAACTCAGAAATCAGCCTATTACACACCAAGCTACCAGTTTACCTCGTACATACACTCATGAGCCATATACTGTATGTTCACTTCACACTTCAAGGAACAAAAACAAATCTGAAATGAAAGGTATCTTCCTGCTCTCACTAGGCTGAGTCTTGCAGGAAAACAAAATTGCTCACCACGTCTTTGCGGATCACACACATATTTACATAGCTTGTTCACCAAATGAGTTCGGTTCTATAGATTCTTTATGCAAATGCATTTTGCATATTGATAACTGGGTACATATATAACTACTTTCTCAAGCAAAGTAAGGAACACTACTACCCCCCCCCAGAAATGATTGTATTTGGCTTGAATTAGGAAAAACTAAAGCTTAACACTAAGATTCTACAAGACATTTTTGTTGAAACTGAGTTTTGTACATATAGGCTGCTTTTCCACTATTGAGCCAAATGGTTCTAAGGGCCATACTGGGCCTTTCTGTGCTGGTGTGGACTTGTGAGATCGGTTACAGTCCAATTTTGGCTTACTGTCACTCCACTATCAATCAGTCGACTTTGCTCTCACTGCTGTAAATTTTTATCATCTATATCTGTGATAGCAGAGCACCAGGTAGTCAAATCTGCACTGGGGTGTTTGGTTCTCTTTAGCTATGCTAATTTAACTAGGAGAGAGGAGGCTAACATTAGCTTAGCCAGGAGGCTCCAGTGAATAGCTACGTGGTTACGCTATCCCACAGAACGGTTCTGTGGCCTGAGTACTGTTAGCTAACCATGTTGAAAAAACGGGCTGAGCCTGGTTTTCAAGCATTCCGTGTTAAACAGTGTTTAAACTACACTGGAGCGGTTCCCTCCGTGCTCAGAACCATTCGGCCATGCAGTGGAAAAGAGGCCATAGTTACTCATTCAGTGCAGACCGATGTTGCTATGGTGATTTTTTTAGAAATAAAACAGGTGCTATAGAGACTGTATTTAAAAAAAGACATACTAAGTTGGTATTAAAGGTTCCATCTGCATCAGCTAATCAATGCAGCTGATGAACATGGGACAAACATTCAAAATTCATGTTGCACCCATGTGCCCAAGCTCAGCAATAAGCTCTTTACAGGGCCAACCAACCGATTAACTAATGAAAAATATAGCCTTTGTTTGAAGTTAGCAGCAGTTATTTACCTAGCGACTGCTAATGTTTGCAAAAGTTAGTTATCTTGGTAGCCAACTACCTAAATCATCATCTCTATAAAAAAGAGCTATCTAGCTCACAATAAGCTGAGCTGAAGAATCAGTCATTGTTAATCTAATATGGACACGTTTTAAGGATATCAGTCGCTTGAAAATTAAATACTAAAGTTAGCTAACTTAGCTGGTGTTACTTAGCCAGTTAGCTAGCTAGCTAAGTAATATCCAGCTTAATTAGCTGGACTTAATCTACATAGCAGTGAACTAGCTACCATAGTGGCCTAATATATTAGCTAAAATGTCATAAATGCAGACTTTAAACATTTGATTTCAGAAATTCTATCTGTGGTGATAAATGATAAATGCAGAGAGACAGTGGCAGTGAAGCAGAAGCACAAACAGCACAGAGAGAGTGACAACAGGCAACATACACACACATTTCTTAATGAACATGCTACTTTTCCCACTTGTAATCATGTAACACAATGTATTTATCACTACTTTCCTCATGTACATGAAGTATATAGTATATATAGTATAATGCATTTCCCCATAGCACTAATTCTCATATTGATGTACATTAGATTTATTCTATGAAATACCCTGTTCTGGTGTTTATTCATGATATGTCTTCATAATTCTCATCTGGATGTGTTTTAATCAACATACTCATGATATTGATCATGGCTCATGCAATCTGCACAAATATCCGAAAATAAAACTTATGTAAATCATTGAACGACGTTGTATTATTACTGAAAAACTGTCTTTACATTTACCTACATTTCACAATCTTTTATGATAATAGAATCTTTTTAATCTTGAACAGCGTGGAGACGTTTCCATTCCAATGTGGTTTATTCACAGATAGAATTTTGTGTTATTTTCTGTATTTTTTACTTGAGGCCACACACAAACATAAGTGGTCAGCGCTGTGTATAACTGTGATTGGCGTGCAGGTGTATTAGGAGCGTGCTTTCGAGAGAACAGTGTGACAGGCATAGATTTTATGATGTTGAAGGAGATCAGCTGTCCCGTTTCCTGCATTACTGTCCGTTCTTTCAATTCCTCTCACTCCTTTCCTCTCCTCAACTCCTCCACAATCTTCTGAAGTATTAGAGAAGCAGTTGCAGAAGTTTCTGGACACAGCCCCTAACTGGCACTCGAATGGTGACATCCCAAGGGAGGAGTGTCTTGGTGCTACACCAAGAGGAGGGGCTGGACAAGCCAGCCAGTGGAGAGTTTGCTTCAAGTCTACGATTTGGGTATCCAATCGAGAGTCTTTTAAGCAGGGATGGACTGGCCTTTGAAAGGACCGAGCAGTCCCTGATGGGCCACTATGTGAGTGAGACACTGAGACAGTGGTCAAGAGAGAAACGCATGTCAATTTCTAATGTAGTTCTATATAAAATGAATGGAGACTGTTTAAAACAAAGCATAAATGATAACAACTGGGAAGGTTAAAGCATGAAGGCTAGCTAGAGAAAGACGGAAAAAACCTCCAAAAGCAAAGGGAAAGGGGTGCGTGAAAAAAAACAAAGTTACTTAAACAAGATGCGAGGAAATTAAGAAAAGGTGGTTGTAATGGGCTATATTTAGTGCCTAGGCCAGCCCTGCTTTTAAGCAGGAGTTGTGAGAGGGGCCGCAACTGGAAAAAGGTGGCTAACCCCAGGAATTATTTGACCAGGGAAGGCCATGGGCAGTCCGTCTCAGTCTTTATTTGGACAGGCTATAAGCTTGTCTATAGGGTTGAGTATCATCTGTTGACTCTTTTTAGAATTAGAACATTCTGAGTTTCTCATTTAGATTCTCTTCATGCATTCAGTGTCAAACTACATGAAGTTTACAAATACTGGAAATAGTGTGAATCTGCCTGCCAAGCCACTCGTAAATGAAAACTGCCATGGGAGTATTCTTATATGATTCTAGTGGCTTGATGCAAAATATAGACTGGAAACGCAGTACTCATTGGCTTGCTTACTGCAGCTGCATGGTTACACTGCAACTAGACTAAGCCCAATGATTTAGCTAGTTAAGATAAAATTATTTTTTATTTTTTGTGTTTAACTAATAAATATCACATCTACATGTAATAAATGAAATACTGGTAACACCTTATTTGGATGGTCCATTTCTCAGAATAAATTGACAATACACTAACAATCAAGTTAGTGTATAGTCAATGTTGTGCTGGTCTGAGTGGATCAGACACAGTAGTGCTGCTGGAGTTTTTAAACACCTCAGTGTCGCTGTTGGACTGAGAACTAAAAATATCCAGCCAACAGCATCCTGTGGGCAGCGTCCTGTGACCACTGATGAAGGACTAGAGGATGACCAACACAAACCGTGCAGCAGCAGATGAGCTATCGTCTCTGACTTTACATCTACAAGGTGGACTGACAAGGTAGGAGAGTCTGATAGAGTGGACAGTGAGCGGACACAGTGTTTAAAAACTCCAGCAGCACTGCTGTGTCTGATCCACTCGCACCAGCACAACAAACATAAACACAACACCACCACATCAGTGCAGTGCTGAGAATGATCCAACCCCCATTTAATACCTGCTCTGTGCGGTCATGACTATTGAAGAACAGGTAAAAGGTCCTAACAAAGTATGCACCTACATAGTAAGTTGAGCTGATAGATTGGACAATAAGTGTGGATACAAGGAGTTGGTTTTAATGAAGTGGCTGGTCGGTGTATGTTGACATTCAAAAATTCTTAGTTTGCTGTTGAAGGCTTCTTCCGCCTAGCTGTTTTTCAATGCCAGGATCTAAAAAAGTGCACATTTTCTAAGGGTTATTTATTAAACATTGTGAAATGTTATTTAATAACCCCATTTTATGCTCCACTTGAACTCCTCCTAAGATTGGTCTGCTAATAGAGGGAACTTTGATAAATATTAACCAAATGTAATTTTTCAACCTGTAACTACTATACTGTTTGAACAGATATGTCAGACATGTCTGCTTGTGTTATTAATTTTTACAGCTGAATCTATTATTTTACCTTATGTTTACTTCTGTTTTCACTTGATGTAGCATCCCATGTATTGTCACCTGTAGAAAACAAAAAGGATATTCATTCATTCATTCATTCATTTTCATTAACCACTTAGTCCAGATAGGGTCGCGGTAGCAGTTGGGAGAGCGGAGAATCCCAGGCGACCCTGTCCCCCGCAACTTCTTCCTTGGCCACTCCCAGGCCAACTTGGAGATATAATCCCTCCAGTGGTTCCTAGGACGATTCCCGGGGACTTGTCCCAGTAGGCTGTGCCTGGTAAACCCCACCAGGAGGTGTCCAGTGGGCATCCTGATCAGATGCCCGAACCACCTCAACTGGCTCCTCTCAATGCAGAGGACTAGTGGCTCTACTCCAAGCTCCAAACCCTATCAAGTAGAGTGTAGCCCACCACCCTGCAAAGAAAGCTCATTTCCACCACTTGTATTTGCGATCTCATTCTTTTGGTCATTAGACACAGCTCATGACCATAGGTGAGGATCGGATTGTAGACTGACTGGTAACCAGAGAGCTTTGCTCTCTCTTCCCCACTACAGTTTGGTACAGTGATCGCAATACTGCTGGTGCCTGTCCCAGCCTGCGGCCGATCTCACAATCCCTCTTCCTATCACTCGTGAACAAGACCCCAAGATGCTTAAACTCCTCCATTTGGGACAGGTCCTTTCCCCTTACCTGGAGTGAACATGCCAGCCTTTTCCAAGATATCTCGGGGAACACGGTTGTAAGCCTTCTCCAAGTCCAAAAAACACATGTAGACTGGGTTGGCAAACTCCCATGCCCTCTCCACAAGCTGCACAAGGGTGAAAAGCTGGTGCTTTGTTCCATGGCTGGGACAGAATCTGCATTGTTCCTCCTCAATCTGAGGTTCAACTATCGGTCGGAGTCTCCTTTTCAGCACCTTGGCATAAACTTTCCCAGGGAAGCTAAGCAGTGCGATACCCCGGTTGTTGGTACACACCCTCCGGTCCCCTTTCTTAAAAATAGGGACCACCACCCCGGTCTGCCGGTCCAAGGGTACTGTTCCCGAGGTCCATGCAATATTGCAGCACCAGAGAAATGGAGCCTGTCCCACAAGAAGCCTTTGGCACTGACTCCCGTGAGGGAGGCAAGTCTCTTGGATTAAGAAGTTCCTCAAAGTACTCCTTCCACCAACTGACAATATCCTCATTTGAAGTCAGAGTTTCTCCACCCCTGCCAAACACAGCTTGGGTAACAGTTCAAAATTCTCAGTTACAATTATTAGGCAGACTTACAGATATTCTCAAAGAGATGGCATAATTTGATCAGTTAGGTGTTAGTTTTTGAAAAGTTATAATTTTGGCACAATTTTGGAAAAGTTGTTTGCAGAAGTTAGGTGGTCGACCGCAGCATGTCTTATAGACTGATTCTTTTTAGTCCATATGAAATCAGGTAAGAACAGATAGCAAAATGTATTCCTTTCCAGTAGATACGAGGGGCAGCCATCTTGTTACACATGGATAAAAAAGTATACTGCAGTTCTCAGACAGGAACTGGGTCATTATAAAAAGCCTGCCTGGGGGACAATGATCACTTACTCATAAATAACAAATGGTTCTTTAACAAGAAAAACTTTTGAAACTGTTAAAAGGTTTAGCTATTAAATGAGATATTGTCAAGGAAGACTATATATAGATAAATAGTCATGACAGTATCTACCAATCCATCTGGATATAGGAGTTGGCAGGCCAGGTAAGTTGTACAATATAAGAGCCTCAGTCTAAGTGTGGGGGTGAAGGTGACCTTTCTAACGGGTGCATATATCGGATACAGGAAAGGGTTAAAGCCAATTAAATATAAGGTTGACTCCCTAGGTCTGTGAAGCCCAAAAGTCTGTGGTCATACAGTGCATGGCAATTTTAGGCTCACAAATATTTTATAGTGATACTATAATCTCACATATCGCTGATGTCGGTACAAAACCTCATATCTCCAAAATGGTAACTTTACAGGAGAAGGAAAAAACCTGGAAGTCAATGGAACCAGACTTTTTTCCAAGTCATTTTGAGCCATTTCTCTTGGTCAGTTTATCATTAAGTCTTTGCAACCTTTGAAGAAATAATTTAACCCAGATAATAAACAGAGCTCACCTGTTTTAAAAGTTCAGCAGCAACAGAACCAAGAACACAGAAGGGAGGAAAAATGAAGAAAACATCATTAGTACGGGGAAGATTCACCAAATCCAATCTACTCCTGGACAGCTAAAGCAAGGCAATGTTCTTGTTCTAATGCATATACCCCAGCTAATCTAATTGTTGGAGCATGGAAAGAAATATTCAGGGCAAAGCCGTTCATCATCTTTACCTCTTATCTCTTCTAATATCTGTCCAGATTGCTCCTGTATTTCCTCATTGATGCAGAGTTCTCTTTGTGGTGGCTTCTGCTTGTCTTTTTCCCTCTGGCTCTCACAGTCATGGGTATGATGGTTCTCAGTCTCCTTCATCTCTTCTTCCATAGTTTCCTCCTCTGTTAACACCTGCATCACTGTTTCTTCTGTTTTTGGTGAAGGCAGACAAATATGTAATTCCTTTAAGAGCTATGGTACAGCAATACTTAAGTTAATGGTTCTAATGATTCTGGGTTCTTAAGTAAAAGAACAATTTATGTTACTTTTCCTTATTTGTTAAACCAAAATGAACCTTTACCTTGATGTTTTTGCATTCGTTCCTGAAGGTTTCCAGCTTCATCTTGTTCCTCTTGGTACCTCCTTCTTTTGTGTTCCTGTTCATTTGAAGACTGTGGAGTTTCAATGTAAGAGGATAAAAAACAGGCAAACGTCACCCAACATCATCAGGAACGTACCTGATTAATGTTCTGAAAAGATGTGTTGGATGTGTCTACTTGTGCTGTTTCATGTTTACAACTGCATCAACCACATTACCTCTTGATTTTCATGAATGTCTTCACTCCACGTAGTACCCCATGTATGGCCACCTGCAAGAAAAAAAAGGCTGAATGAGAACAATAATTTATTGTAAGCTAGTTTCTTCTACACTGTTAGAAAGAAATGTTCTGTACAGGTACATTTTTCATTCATCAAGACACAAACAATGTAAATGTACCCTCAAAGGTACAACAGTGGCTTTAAAGTCCAATTGTGCACCTCAAATAAGTTTTTCCAGGTGAAAAGTACATATTTGTATCTTTTCATAACCGAATATTTTTAAAATGTTTAAATAGACGGGGTGTGTGGAGTCAATACAGCTTAGAACATATCATTTCAGTGGATTATGGTACAGTTATGTTCCCTGACTAAAGGTACTGAGATGTACCCTTGAGGGTCCCACCCCAGTGACAAGAAGGGAACAGTGACAGGTTAGTACCTTTATTTCTGAGAGTGTAGAAGTGGGTGCCATGAAGAGGTACTTATGGTACTAATATCTAGTGAAAAACGTAAAATGTTTTGATGGCTCATGATGTGTACAATGTATTTTTAACAACCTGTTTATAAGGTATATTTCCAGTTGCACTCAATAATCATGGCATTGTGCCCCAGTTACACTCTCAGAAATAAAGGTACTAAACTGTCACTGGGGCAGTTCCCCTATTATCACTGGGGTGGAACCTCTCAAGGGTTCATCTCAGTACCTTTACTGACTCCACACACCCCGTCTCGTCTCCAGGCTTTTATTTTACTGTTCTGTTTAAAACATTCGGTTATGAAAAAGTACAAATACGAACTTTTCACCTGGAAAAACTTATTTAAGGTTCACAATCAGACCTTAAAACCACTGTTGGAGCTTTGAGGGAACAGTTACATTGTTTGTACCTTTTAAATACATCCATTGGTTGTGAGGTAAACTCTACACCAGGGCTGCTCAATCCTGGTCCTGGAGATCTACCACCCTGAAGAGTTGAGATCCAACACACCTGACTCTAATATGCAGATGCTCTGGAAGGCCTTGATTACCTCAGAAGTGTTAGATTAGGGTTGGAGCTAAACTGTGCAGGGTGGTAGATCTCCAGGACGAGGATTGGGCCCCACTGCTCTATACAATTTAAATTACAAATCCAGTTTTTTGATATGAGGTATTGAAAATACCATTAGTACTGAGAAGATGCACCAAATTTGATTTCAGTCTTTAACAGCCAGAGTCAGGCATCATTCAATATTCTCCCTGCTCTAATATACCATATATAAACCCTTTGTGACATGAACTTTGTTCGTCGGATCTCCTCACACAGTTTTCAACATAGATTACAAAGATGGCAATGTGACTTGAGCTGAAAACTTCCAAAACATTTCAAACATAAAGGTTTATGTACTCGTTACTTTGACTACATAACACTGATCTGTTTACCTTTGACTTTGTTGTTTAGCATTTCTTCTTTGAGATTTCCATCTTTTTCATGGTCCTCTTGGTTCCTCATACTGTTCCCTTCCTCTTGATTTGAAGCCAGTGGAGGCCTGTTATTCTTATACTGAGTGATGGACTTGATGAAGTTCATTTGAGTGATGGACTTGATTTTGTGGACCAGTTCTGATATTTCATGATCATTGTTCATTCGCTTGTAGCAAGTGAACCATGCTCCACTACATTTCATAAGGAGCTTTTTGATGTCTGTGTTCTGCTCAAAATCTGTTACTGGATTATCTCCTCTGGTAAAAAGAATCATTGTACGAGCTAGTGCTGTCTCTCCATACAGTCTCTGGATATGCTCTTTTGCAATTTCTGCTTTTTTAACACGTCTGTTAACGTTGGACTGATGGCAATGTGAAGCACTTGGCAGTTTAATTACTAATAAAAAGACTCTAATCTCATATTGAAAAACACAGCTGTGCTTGTCAGTATCTGTCTTCTTATAAAGCCCCAGCATGTTGACCACAGACAGAGAGTGTCCAGGTACTTTTCTTAGTTTCAGACTGCCTTGTTTGTCTTTGCCGAGGAGAAGATTGTTTTTTCCATATTTCACAGCTTTTCTGCTTCCTGTGAGCGCCGCTAGCAGATCTTCACTCTGACTTCTACCTGCAGCACATACAACACAAGACGTACTGGGATTAACACACAAAAAGTGGCTTTTTTTATTTCTGATTTAATGTGCAGTTTTTCATTCAGAGATGGTTTGGGTGAGTCATGGCAAGTCAAATTCACCAGCAACAGAGATTTTACATTAAATCTAAAGACAGACTGTAAAGAACTTCTCACACTTCATAACTATGTATAATGAACAGGCGGAAGGAACCTATTGTGACACTTACAGCACAAGCATTGCAGGACTATTTTCTTTCATTTCAGATAAAGAGACTGGTCGAGAAGATGATGGAGTGCACCTGACCGCAAA